AAGAAAGAAAGAAAGAAAGAAAGAAAGAAAGAAAGAAAGAAAGAAAGAAAGAAAGAAAGAAAGAAGATAAGGAGAAAGAGAGAGAGTAATGAAGAGAGAAAAAGAAAGGAAGAAGAACTTGGGGTCAGCAGGATCTCTGGGGAGGGTGGAAAGCTGGAAATTGTGTCCAGTGATAAAGCTAATTGTTCAGTCAATCATACCTACATGAGGACACTCCAATAAAAATTTTGGACCTCAGAATTCAGTGGTGGTCCCTAGTGGGTGAGCCAGCCCATGTGGCAGGAGGGGGCCGCACCCTAACTTCATGGGGAGGAAGCAGGAAAGCTCTGAATCCTCTCAATTTGAATCTGTGTGACTCTTCCTTTGGCTGCTCCTTTATGATAAAAATATGATCATTAACATAGTAACTTCCTGATTCTGTGAGTTTTTCTAGTGAACTCTCAAACCTGAACAGATTGTCAGAAGCCCCAGATTTATAGTCAGTGAGTTCAAAGTGCAGGTGGGCCTGGAGCTCCCTGAAGTGAGGCCAGCGTTTGAAGTGAGGGGAGTCTTGGGGAGGACAGAGCCTCTAACTTGTGAAGCCTGACGTGAGCTCTAGGAGGTTAACATCAGGATTTGAATGTAGTAGACCCAAGTGTTGGTGAAACTGAACAATGATTTTTGATGTATGTAATTTTTTTTGTGGTTACATTCAATAGTTATTGCATATTTTCTCTGTACCAAAAAGGTGCAAGATGGAAATTCAATTAGAAGGCAAAACTGGAGACAATCCCCACCCGTGGTCAGTGGCATTGTTAATGAAATAATCACCTCCTGTTCTATTAAATTGTACATGGTTTATTGAAAGGAACAGTTAATGCTTAATTTTTTTTCTTCTTGACAAATTTTGCATGCTTATATCTGGTAATCTGAACAAATAATTTGAAGACAACAATATACACTATAACAACCGTTGTTGAATTCCTACCATCTTGTTTAGTGAAGTTCTGTATCATTTCTAATGTTTTTTAATTACTTTTTATTCTCTTTAACTGTTTGATCAATATTACATTCTTACATCTTGTAATCTGAGCAACTTCTTGGAAGGTAACAATATGTAATATAACAACCATTGTTAATTTCTATTATCTTGTTTAGAAATCTTGCATTGTTTTTATTGTCTTTATGTTGTTATTTTGTTATTGGTTGTTCTCTTTAAAATAAATCATACAGTGGGGAGGTGTTATGATTTGGACCTGGAATGTCTCCCCAAAGCCTCATGTATTCAGAAGTGGGGCTTTTGGAAGGTGAGCAGATCCTCAGGGTGCTGTGCTTATCCATGGATTGATCTTTTGGTGAGTTCATGGCTGAGTATGCTATTAGGAGGTAGGGCCTGGTTGGAACAGGTGGTCACTAGGGTGTGATCGGAAAGGGTGTGTCTCCCTCTCTAGCCCCTCCCTTCTCTTTCTGCTTCCAGGCCATCATCATGTGGGAGTTTTCCTCTGCAACAGGCCTTTCCACCATGCTGTTTCTGCATTTGAGCCAGCTAGCCGTGGACTGAAACATCTGAAACTATGAACCAAAATAAACTTTTAGGTTGTGGGCATCAGATACTGTGTCTCACCAGTGAAGAAAGTGACTATGACAGGCTTCAAGTCTGAAAGTTATTCTGGAAATAGCCACAGGGTCAACAACTATTCTCACTCAATCACTAAGATTTCAGAAAAGCCAGCATGATGGCACGCACCTATTATGACTTGTTTCTAGATGCTTCCCCAAAGCCTCACGCTCTCATAGGTGGGTCTTTTCAGAGGTGGCTGGCTGTAGAATGCATGATGCTGGGATTAAGGATGTGTGATTACTAAATTAGTCTGCTGATTGGTTTGGCATAGTTCTGGGTGTGTTACCTGCCCTAAGCGCAAATAGCCTAGATAGAATAAAAAAGGAACAGAAAGAAGCTGCTATTATCACTTATTGCTTGCTGCTTCACTACTTCACTGCTTGCTGCCTTTTGCCTGCCACAAACCATTTCTCCTCTCCCAGCCACCCTGATTTGGACCCAGCCAACTATGAACTGAAACCTCTACAAACTGTGAGCCAAAATTAGCCTTTCCTCCTTTAACTTTTGGTGTTGGGTATTTTGTCTCAGCAATCAGAAAAGTAGCCAAAACAGCACCTGAAGTTTTAGCACTCTGGGAGGCTGAGGCAGGAGGAGTGCAAATTCAAATTTGGCCTGGGTAACTCAGTGACTCAGCAAAACTCTGTCTCAAAAAAACATTTTCTTAAAAAAGGGCTGGGGATGATCCTGGGGATGTAGCTCAATGCAAAGGCCCCTGGATTCAATCCTCAGTACCACATTAAAAAATAAAGACTTCAGAAAGAAAGAAGCACGGAAGAGTTATTAGCATTTCTTACTGTCACATATGGATCAACCTGCTACAGGCCAAGATCTCATATAAGTATCACAGCCATGTGTACTGTAGGTTGTAGTCGCTTCTTATGACTCATGGGCAAACTGAGAATCACAACTGAGGAGTGTGTTCAGAGTCACACAGAGCATCAATGGTAAGCCTTAAATTTGACCCAGTGATGTCAGGCTCCAAATAAAGCTCTGAAGGAAACCTCCTTAGACCGCTCTGATGTAGCAGCCACATGGTCCCACATAGGTCTCAGATAGCATAAAATATCCTCAGAAAGAACTGAGATTGGACAATTAACAGGGATGAGATATTAATAATCCCACCACTTAAAGTTTTGCATTTTATTTACTTTTAAAGTGACAACAATGCATTATTTAAGTGCTCAGTTTAGAGCAGCTTATAGTACAGAGTTGCAAGAACTGACAGGATGGAAAAGAAACAGGTCGTCAGATATAACATGGTTCAATATTTATCTTTTGTAAGCCTTTGTGAGCCATGGTGGCTCTACTCACAGTGGGGTCTCCTGACCAGCAGCTGGGGCCACAGCTGAGTATGCATTAGAAATGCAGAATTAGACCTGAATTAGACCTATCTCAGACCTGTGGAATTGGAACCTGCATTTTCACAAAATCCCGAGAAGGACTGAACTAGGAGATGCAATCCAGAAAAATCTAGAATGCAAAAATATCGCAAGAACCTGCTAGCTATACTTAGAAAAGAAATAAGGCAATTTAAAGCTTAGCTCACGGAGATAATTTTTTCCTGGAAAAATCATTACTAGGATCTGCTCATTTGAAACAGAGTGGAAAAGACTGGGGACCTTTGAGAGTTGATGTCACATCTGGTGGCCACAAAACTGAATGAGGCAAATAACTATCTCTCTACCCATTTATTCAGGAGCAGGATTGGTGCTTTCAGGGTAAGCATCTCTTTTTGTAATATCTCAGGTCCAAGGAGATACATGTTATTAAAATTGTAGGATGTCCTTGATATTTCATGAAATGTAGTGGGAAGACTGCAGGGATGGAGTCAGAGGGCAGACAGAGCACCTGACCAGGTCAGAGAACCTGAGGGAAAACCCTAAAACAGGAAGAGTTTAGGAAGCTGGCTATAGCTATGGATCTTAGGCACTGCTTTAGTCACTCTGGCTGCTCTCCATAAACACAGCTCTCAGAGATGAAAACAAAGGATAATTTTGTCGGTGATGAAGTTGCCATCTACTTTTTTCAAAATGGAAACAGCTTTATCAGTTTTTTATGATTATGAAAATCACACTTATTGCAAAGATATTGGGACAGTGGAAAAGATGTGAAATAAAAAGTGAAAACCACTTCAAACTTTAGATATAGAGGCAACTGTACATGCTGTTACACATGGTGCATGCATGTC